AGTCTGCTCTGCTATTGTCTGGGGACAGCAGCTACTGAAATATGTAAACGAATGGGTGTGGCTGCATTCCAGTCCCAACAGCTATCCTTTGCCATCCCCTGACTTAGATTCTCATTTGGGGCTATTTTATACCAATCTTTGGCCACACTGGCCTTCTGCAAAGGTGTGGTGTGTGATTTGAGGGTCACCAAAGGCATCTCTGCCTTTAGACAATAATCTCCTTCTCCCATCAGTTACAAAGCCGGAAAGGCCAACCATTAAAATCTTTCCTGTGGGACATTCTTATGTTTTCTGAATATGGCATTTCACTGAAAATCATAGGCAACTTGTACATCTGTAAACTCCAGTAGGCTTTAGTTTCAGCTCATTGTAAATAGAAGTCTAGGGTTATCGGGAAAGGGGACCAAGTTATAAGTCATTTCTAGGGACAGGAAGAGGGGAGAATCTAGCCTGGGCTGCAGCATTGTGAGGCTGAGTGTAAGAAAACAGTGCATCCAAAGGCAAGGGAATTAAAAGCAAAAATGAACTGTTGGGACCTCATGAAGATAAAAAGCTTCTGCACTGCAAAGGAAACAATCAAGAAAACTAAAAGGCAACTGACAGAATGGGAGAAGATATTTGCAAATGACATATCAGACAAGGGGCTAGTATCCAAAATCTATAAAGAACTCGCCAAACTCCACACTCAAAAAACAAATAATCCAGTGAAGAAATGGGCAGAAGACATGAATAGATACTTCTCTAAAGAAGACATCCAGATGGCCAACAGACACATGAAAAGATGCTCAACGTTGCTCCTCATCAGGGAAATACAAATCAAAACCACAATGAGATAGCACCAGACACCAGAGTGGCTAAAATGAACAACTCAGGAAACAACAGATGCTGGCGAGGATGTGGAGAAATGGGAACCCTCTTGCACTATTGGTGGGAATGCAAACTGGCGCAGCCACTCTGGAAAACAGTGTGGAGGTTCCTCAAAAAATTAAAAATAGAACTACCCTATGACCCAGCAATAGCACTACTAGGAATTTATTCAAGAGATACAGGAGTGCTAATGCATAGGGCACATGTACCCCAATGTTCATAACAGCACTTTTAACAATAGCCAGATATGGAAAGAGCCTAAATGTCCATCAACTGATGAATGGATAAAGAAGATGTGGTTTATATACACAATGGAGTACTACGTGGCCATGAGAAAGAATGAAATATGGCCCTTTGTAGCAACGTGGATGGAACTGGAGAGTGTGATGCTAAGTGAAATAAGTCATACAGAGAAGGACAGATCCCATACGTTTTCACTCTTATGTGGATCCTGAGAAACTTAACAGAAACCCATGGGGGAGGGGAAGGAAAAAAAGTTAGAGAGGGAAGGAGGCAAACCATAAGAGGGTCTTAAAAACTGAGAATAAACTGAGGGTTGGTGGGGCATGGGAGGGAGGGGAAGGTGGGTGATGGGTATTGAGGAGGGTGCCTGTTGGGATGAGCACTGGATGTTGTATGGAAACCAATTTGACAATAAATTTCATGTTAAAAAAAAAAACTGTGCGGGTGGAGTATGGCTGTAGTGATAATAATAATAATGAGTGAGTGCCAGCTGTCTTGTGCTAAGTGCTTTGCACAGCGTCTCTGCTTGCACCAACACCATGCAGTCGAAAATACTCTGGTCCCCGTTTTACAGACAAGGCCTCTGGGCTTAAGAGTGGGTGATGTTGGAAGTGTCTGACTAGGAAGTGTCTGGTGTGTGTGATGCCAGAGTTCACTAAGTGGTGAAGTTCACGGGAAAATGTCCAGGCTATACGGCATTATGAACTGGGATAGTGAGGCAGGAAAGCCCTTTGTATGTTTGTGACCACTTTAAAAAAAATTTTTTTTTTAACGTTTATTTATTTTTGAGACAGAGACAGAGCATGAATGGGGGAGGGTCACAGAGAGAGGGAGACACAGAATCGGAAACAGGCTCCAGGCTCTGAGCTGTCGGCACAGAGCCCGACGCGGGGCTCGAACCCACGGACCATGAGATCATGACCTGAGCTGAAGTCGGACGCTTAACCGACCGAGCCACCCAGGCGCCCCGTGACCACTTTTAAAATAATAAGCAGATATAACAACTATGAGTCTCAAAGAGTCTAGCTCCTTAAAGTGCTTTTTTTCTCCCTGCCCTCCACCTACAGAAAAAGATTAAGGCTTTTAGGGTGACAGTTCAGTTTCGGATCACCCTTTTTAACTCCCGAGTCACCTTCCTTCCTTCCTGTTTATGTGGTATTTCTGACTTGCTAAAGCACTTGAATGTAACATACATTGACCTAGGTGTGTCCTTGGTTTTCTCTACAGAGAGGGAACAAATGGCCACTATAGATAGGCCATTTATCCCACAAGTATGATACCTGTATGTACACCTTTATTTCTTCCTGTAGGTACCCCTTTTATCCCACAATCACCATTTTCAAGCTCTAGTTTAAAGTTTTTGTGGGGTGGTCTCCAAATAATGAACTCATTTCTGGACTTGGTGTATCCAACGTACCCCTGGGAAGGAGCATTTTTTGAAAATCTGGTTTTGCAGAGTTTAGGTGGGACTGCCTTCTGAACTTTGCATACACATCCATTAATTATGTTCCGTGAAGTAGCTTGGAATTGTAGCCTTTGTAAGGGGCAAAGATCAGCCTGGACCTATGTTGATTTACTAGTTTATTGATTTTGACCAAGAAGTCTTTTATTTGAAACTCTTCAGTTAGGAAGTCAATTTTATAGCCTTTGTCCACTCATTTTGAAGGTGTCAGTTACAAATAGTCGTGCCAATGAGTAATTGAGGAGCTAAAATTACTAATACATTAATTAAAATGTATTTATAACCTAGTGGAAAGCCAAGAATGAAGTTGCTTTCCTATTGATTATTATACCAGTCATTAACTGCTGACAAAATGCCATTGCAGCAGGCAGAGAATGTTGGCCAATTCCTTGGTAATTGTAGGATTCCATCATTAAGATTGCAGTATTCTGGACAGTAATTACTCATTTGCTCCGTGTATTCACAGTGTGTGGGTAAAGTGGTTGGACATTTTGTGGCAAGACTAAGGATTCTGGCAGACATTAACTTCTACATAAGATTCTTTCTTGACAGTCAGTGCTACTTTAAATAATTTGTGGTTTGAGCTTTTATTTATGCCAAGTATTCTTAGATGTTAATATGCCAGTTCTGCATAGACTTGTATCAAAGTACTTGATTTTTGTGGTAGAGAGACCCTTGTAAAAAACCTCTATGTAGGATCTGTAACTCTAGGATGTTGTAATGTAGCAACATTTTCTTGTAAACAACCGGGAATAACAGTCTATGGTCATTGCTTTGGAGTGAATTATTGCAGGGTGGTTGTTCCCCTTTGAAGAGGTAGGTGCCTTTCAGCTATGCTGGGGGAGAATGGGTAATTTCTCTAAAGGCTGAGCCAAAAATCCCCGCCTACCAATATCTCAAGTAAAGTAAAAGAAGGTTACAATGGAATGTCGTCATAGACAACTAATTTCTGCCCTAAGAAATATAATAAAAGGGGTCAGATCCCAGGAAACCTGCATGCCATCCCTCCCCACTGCCGCTTCTCCCTGAGTGTTCATGTAGAGATATCCTGTAAGTCAATGAAAGTGCTGTTTTCTTGGTCCATCCATATCATCCAGTGAGTTTCAACTGTGTCCAAGTCTCTTGGCCTTGAGAGAATTGGAGATTTCTACCTGCACCAGAGTAGAAACAGTAGAGCTGATAATGCCTAGCCACCTTCTGTTATATCTGATCAGTCTTAGTGTTTTATAACTTGAATCAAAAGAATCATATCCTGCACGTATCAAGATGATGGTCCTGGTTTGAGCAGACCCCGTAGGAGGTATATCAGCAGTTTAGGGACTGTTATTTCCATTTTCTGAATAAAAAAGCTGAGGCCCAGAGAAGAAGTAGGTTATTATGATTATTTTTTAATCAAGTCATAGAGTTAGTTAAGGGTCAAATAAAAACTATCGGTTCTAGGACACCTGGGTGGCACAATCAGATTTCAACTTTTTTTTTCTTAAGTTTTTTTTTTTAACATTTATTCATTTTTTTTTTTTTTTTGAGACACAGAGTAAGCAGGGGAGGGGCAGAGAGAAAGACACCCACACACAGAATCTGAAGCAGACTCCAGGCTCTAAGCTGTCAGTACAGAGCCTGACACGAGGCTTTTCTCACGAACCATAAGATCATAACCTGAGCAGAAGTCAGCCACTTAACCAGCTGAGCCATCCAGGCACCCCGGCATCTAACTTTTGATTTTGGCTCAAGTCATGATCTCCCCATGTGTGAGATTGAGCAGGCAGGCATCAGGCTCCACACTGACAGCAAGGAGCCTGCTTGGGATTCTCTCTGTCTTCTCCTTTCTCTGCCCCTTCCCTGTTCATGTGTGCGCATGTGCTATTTCTCTCTCAAAATAAGTAAATAAACTTAAAAAAATATATATGGATTTTCACCAAGTGTTCTTTCCAAGAAATCTTTCAGAAATATTAGTGAGGATACTGATTAAATAAAGATTTCACTTTACAGCATCAGAAGGACAAAGGACAGTGGGATTAAGCATTATAATCTAGGTTCTCTTTGCATAGAAGGTAAAGGTGATGATTAGTGGTTAAATACTAAAAATGAATGTAATGAAAATGGCCTATCAAATCTGTATGTAACTGTGGCAGTCTGTACCTTGTAATGGGTGACCACAGTTTATATTACTAATTCATTAAACAGAGACCGACAGGTATAAATTACTATGTTCTTTATTAGAATGTAAGTCCCTTGAGAACAGGGTCTTTGTCATAATCATCTTTGTAGTCCTAAAGTGTAAGATCAAGAAAGCCATAACCACTTCTCCTGCCTGTATCATGAGAAAAAATGACAGTATTTTATTTTTCTTTCTCCTGTGTTAGCCTGGGGAACTAACTAATTTGTAGATTCTTAAGGGATATTCATGTATGTGCCTTGTTCCCTTTAGTTGTCTGCTTTGATGCAAAAATAAACTTTGATGACAATGCAGAATTTCGACAAAAGGACATATTTGCTCTGGATGACAAATCAGAGAATGAACCCATTGAAAACGAAGCAGCCAAATATGATCTAAAATATATAGGATTGGATGGGAACATTGCCTGCTTTGGTAAGAAAGTAGTTCTATCAAAAGAATGATTTGTGGATTTGGGGGGAATTTAGGAACTCCTGATTTCTGAACCTTTCTGAACTGTTATTTCCTAAAAGCCAGTAAAAATAGGAGTTTGTTTGTTTGTTTGTTTGTTTGTTTGTTTGTTTGTTTTTGTAGCCCCAAAGTCTTAAGAAACAATTTGGAGTTTCTTCCCAATACATTTTGCTCAATGGTCACTGGTTTAAAGCGGGGTTTCTCAAGTGTGGCACTTTTGACATTTTGGGTCAGATAATTCTTTTCTGGGGGTTGGGGTGGGGGTCCTGTACATTGTCAGATATTTAGCAGTGCCCCCTGGCCTTTAGGTGCCATTGACAGCCAAAAACATTGTGATAGCCAAAAATGTCTTCCAACACTGCCATATATCTTCTCGTCAACAAAATGACTCCAGTTGAGAAATACTATGTTAAAGCATCTCAGTTAAATTTTGTGTCATAAAAATGGAAATCTTTACTACCCCAGTCAGTGTTAATATGCTAGGAACCATTCTGGAAATTTGTGTTTAAGATACAGTTTCTCCGAGGAAGTGGAAGAGAACATACACTTGAATCATTATATTCCAGTTTCGGCTTTTATGATCACCAAATGATAAAATGTTTAATCCATTATCCAGTTTATTAATAAAACAATTGATTCTATCATACTCATCTAAATTTGTGAAAATGGCTTATTCAGCTGAGATAAGAATGGATCTATAGAGGCAATACAATTTCTGTTATTGTCCACAGCTTATAGAACTGAGATTTATAATGCGTCTGTGTTTCTGGTAGAACCAATTCATTGCCCTGGAAACTGAGGTCTTAATCTTAATGGAATTAAAATAAAAAAGATTTGTAGCTCATTAAGCCAACAGTATTATTATATTCAGATCTGAACAGACCTCATCCAGTAGTCTGCTGTGCAATACAATAGAAAATGACATCTAATTACAAGTGATACCAAAAGCACTTGCTTTGTATTGGAGTAATAACTGTAATGTACCAGATCACGCGCATTGTTCTGATCTTGATAAGCTAATGCGCTCTCAATATTTGTAGGCATTTAGAAAGGAGAATGATATAATGGTGTGTTGAGAACAAATTAAATACAGATTCTTTGTAGCCTCTGTGGGAGTATGCATGATCTGACCAAGTTAAGCAGCCTCAAAAGCTACGATTAACACATTTCAAATTGTTTTAAGATCTTATATAAACCATTTTTATTGTAGTTGCCCCAGACTTAATTAAATTAGTCACAGTTCACAGGCATGTCTGGGGAATTCAAGGGTCAGAAAAAGTGAGGTATAATTTTACCATGTGAGTTTCTGCTGTGTTCTGAAGGTTTGCTTTTCTTCTTCTTTCTCCCCCCACCCCACCTTTCTAATCTGAGGAAAGTAATCTCATATAATTAAGCATAAGAAGTGAAAGAAGTACAATTAAAACTCAGCTCTGGAAAATAAGAATTGCAATGTTAAAACTTTTTACTTGTTTTCTTAAAAAAAACCCTCCTAAGATGTTAACACATTTTGGTTCTAGTTTTAATGATCAGTTTGCTAGTGAACATTTCTCATATTAATTTGAAGAAGGAACAGAGGGATAGGAGTATTATTTTGATGCTGTCATTTGTTCATTTGTTTTCTGAGTTTATCCACATAACCTATAAATATGCGTGGTTGAGCTGAGTGTAAAAAAGCATGGAGTCCTATTGAAGTTGGGACCCCTGTGGTTCAACCCCAGAGGGATGCCATATTCAAAGCATATTCTCAGCAAGCAAAAAATTAAATGAATTCCATTTTTTTTTTACTCAGGTCTCTTAAAGGATATTAAAGACAATGCAATTCATAGACCCAAGCAACTTCTTGTAGCCTTTCTTCTCTCTTTCCAGGTTCGTTTGAGTTCTGTATTTTTCCAGAACCCAAAACTCCTTCTTCTACTACTAGCTCAAATTAATCAATTATGCAAACTCTTCCCTTTTATCTGTTTGCCAGATTGATTTAACTTGTTAATAAACCTGTCTTTGTATCCCCAGGTCTTTTTTTGTTTATTGTTTTGTTTGTACATTTCCTGACTCTTTATCCTAAAAGTCTATGAATTTATCTGATTGAACAGGATTCTAGGCAGGACATATTGGCCTGGTAGTGACAGGGGTCTGTCTCTGGCAGTATGGGCGAGGGAAACCGTTCATGCACCCTTTCCTGTTGCCAAATTGATCTTGTTGTGTGTGCCATTTGCATTCCACAGTGAATGGTGCTGGCCTTGCCATGGCTACTTGTGACATCATCTTCTTGAATGGTGGGAAGCCAGCCAACTTTTTGGATCTTGGTGGTGGAGTAAAGGAAGCTCAAGTGTATCAAGCCTTCAAACTGCTCACAGCCGACCCTAAGGTAACCTGTCGTTGTAGGCAGATGGCGTCATGTTCTGATTTTTCGCCATCAAGAGCCACCTCTTTCCTACTGCTAAAGGATAATAAGCCACACATTTATTTTGTAGCCCTAGATGCAAATCCTGCCTTAGATCTGATTGTAATACACAATGATTTGACTCGTTTCAGGTGAAAGGCTAATAAGTACTCCCAGGATCCAGTTTCAGCTTCTGTGTTTCCAAAGTCCTGGGAGATAGGAGGAAGTAAAAAAGGGGGTAGTGCTCCAGGCAGGGAAACACCGTTGGTGTCGAACATTATTTGAGTAATTTATACTGAAGCGATTAGTCCCATTCTTCACATGACTTACAGGACTCATTCTCAGATTCCTTCCATAAAGATACCGCAAGTATTATCACACGATTGGAGACAGAAGAAAATTATAGGATTATAGAAGTGTATATCACTAGAAAATAATAACCCCACATTCTTCTGTATGCTTTTAATTTTCATCGCTGAATAGTTGTATAGTTTACAGCATAGGTACTAGGTAGCATATAATGTTGCTTTATGACCCTCTTTCCTTAACTAGAGTATAGCTATCACACCCATGCTAGTGTATAGTAGGTATTCCGTGAACATTTTTTGAGTTAAAATACCAGTATGCTTTGTTGGAACTGTAGGTACTCACTAGTTTATGACAACAAGGTTTAGGTGGACGTTTGTTACGTGGAAAAAACTAACATGTTTTGAACGTCTGATATATACCATTTAATTCTCTTAACCATTCTGAGTTTAAACTTTCAGAATCATGTTTATACTGTTAGAGTATCTGATACATTCTGTTCTTTTTCGTGGTTTTTTTTTTTTTTTTTAGTGTTCATTTGTTATTTAATTTTGAGAGAGAGAGAGTGAGTGAGCAGGGGAGAAGCAGAGAGAGGGAAAGCAGAGAAAACCCCAAACAGGCTTTGCACCGTCAGCGCAGAACCTCACATGGGGTTAAACCCATGAACTGTGACATCATGTTCTGGACCAAAACCAAGAGTGGGGTGCTTAACCGCCTGATGCACTCAGGCACCCCTCTGTTGGTTCTTAATGTATCTGAACACATGGGAAGTCTGAACCATCACTAAGAACAACAAATGAAAATGATACCAGCTTTAATTTTTTTTTAATTTTTAAAGTTTATTTATATTGAGAGACACAGCATAGGGGGGGGTGGGCGGAGCAGAGGGAGAGGGAGAGAGAGGGAGAATCCCAAGCAGACTCTTCCCAGTCAGTGCATATAACCCAGTGTGGGGCTCAAACCCTTGAACCCTGAGATTGTGACCAGAGGCGAAATCAAGAGACAGACGCTTAAGCAACTGAACCACCCAGGCGCCCCCATATTGTTTTTTAAGAAACGTGGTCTCAACTTAATATGGAAACTTCTCATAAATTAATGTACCAATAATAGTCTTGCGGTTCACAACTATAAAATTTTGTCTTCTATTTTCATTATGACTCAGATAGTTGCTAACCTTATGTTTTTGCTAAGTCTTTCCCTTCTGATTCATGAAATAAATGGTAAGGTATTATCAGCTACTTATTTTCAGTTTTCCAGTGCTATCCAGGAATAACAAAGTCATCAAAATCCAAAGTCGCCCAGCCATGAAGAATGTGTGTGCGGTTGGTTTTTCTGTTTCTATAAGTACCTTGTTTCTGTTGGTTAGGTAGGAATATTGTCAGTGGCTTCCTACTTACTAATTTATTTATCCCTTCTTATTCTTATTTTCTAAGGGAAGCATCATTTTCCTTCCAGAGATTTTCTTATCAATTTAAATCTGTAAATACCGTGGACATAACTCATCCACAGCTTTTTAAACTGCTTGAACCACAATGTACTTAGAGAACAGGGCAATTGTAATAAAATAGAACTTTTAGTGTCTACTGAAATTCGGTGCTAAGAATAATAGAGTGCTATCGAGAGAGTAAATCTACCAGGACAATCATTGCATTTTCTTTGGAATATCTTTTCTTAGTAGCTGATCTGGAATTTTAATTTTGCAACAATGCAGGAGGAGAAGGAAAAATCACTTGCAGAGCCATTTTTTAAAACAGTCTCTTAAAAAATTTTTGACTTTGCCCTATGGAATATTTTCAAATGCTTGGAGTATTTAAACTTTTTTGAGATTGCCTGTCATCTTGGGTAGAGAAAGATATGTGGGAGTTATTTTATTTTTCTCATGCTATATCAGGAAAATGAATGCACAGCCCATCTCACTGTAAATTTTCCAAATCTTGAAATTTCAAAGACAGTTAAAAAGCATGGAAATGTAATGGGTATTTTCAATCCTGGCATTGTTTCACAGATTTTAGAGAACAGAGGCTAAAAAATAGTATAGATGAATTGATTTGATTTTGCAAGGAAACTGGTTACAGTTCTGGCTGTAATTATTTCAAGTAGAACCCCATTCAGCTGCCCAGAAGAAAAGAATCCCAAAAACCCAAAGCTGATTATTACAAAGGTATTGATTTTCTCATTGGATGTAAGGATTAGTCAGTTGAAGACACTGAAATTCAAAATTGAAAAAGGCCTTTTGTTGCTAAACTTGAATCAACTGATAGTAACAACTAGTTGTTTATCATCTGTATAAGCTAATTCTTTTGATCAAGTAATAAATGTCATCATTTGAGAACAATATTGTGGGTTGACATATATTTCTACACATAATGTCAGCCATAGAGCTGAAACTTAAATTTATTTTGCCTGACTATTAGCCCTAATGCTGACATTCATCAGGACCCAACACAAATGCCTTTATAACTAATGTGTTCTTTATTTGTTTGTAATATATATGAAACAGAGCTCGTCTGCCAAACTAAGACAAGAGTCTTTTCAAGATAGCTTAAAAAACTGAATTCACATTATTTTATAATTCCCTAGTTTTCTAGTTGAGCTTGAGATGAGAGTTGAAGAACAATGTAGTTTGTTCTGTTGGTGGTATAACCTGATCATCATTTTTAACATCCAGTATGGTAAGCCCTAGGATTCTTAATCCTAAGTAGTAAAGATCACATTAAATAGGAAGTAGAAGTAGGGGTTTGTGGTTAAGTTATAAAGAATTTGAATAAACTTGAGGGAAAAATCCTCCAAGGATTGTGTTATCCTTAAACTTTCGTTTTCCTGAGTCATACATTGGCTTTTACTTCTAATTCTAAACTTAGAATTCCAAAGGTGTAGAAAATGAGTACAAATGACATCTGGAGTATGTAAAACATCTTGCATCAATGAATAATAGAAAAAGACAGTTGACCGGAATCTCAGCACTCACCCCAACTCTTTTGGCCAAAGTTAAGCAAATCTGTTGCGCTCTGGAGGACTGACTTTGAAAAGCAGTAGTGTGGGATTGACATTCCTGAAGACTCCTCACCTGATATGTCCCTGTGCTTCCTGGGTTAGATCCAACTTAGAGTCGTGTTTTCAAAGCTCTTTGTTTTTTAATTTTTATTTCTCTTAATATTATTTTTTTGATTCCAAGTATAATTAACATAGTGTTTTTCAAAGTTCTTTAAAAATCCAGGAAGAGGGAGCCTAGGTGGCTTGGTTGGTTAAGTGTCCAACTCTTGATTTCTGCTCAGGTCATGATCTCGCATCTGTGTGGAACCTGCTTGGGGTTCTCTCTCTCCCTCTTTCACTGCCCCTCCCCCTGCTCATGTGTGCACATGTGCACGCTTTCTCTCTCTGTCTCTGTCTCTCAAAATAAACAAACAAACACTAAAAAAAAAAAAAAAATCCAGGAAGAAATGTGCTACATAAGCACCAAGTACCAGTTCAAAAAGGAATGGAAGGATTCTTAGTGGGATTCTTGTACCAGACTGCCCAGGTTCCTGTCCCACGTCCCATCTTTACTGCTTATTGTTTGTGGGAGCTTGAGCACGTTATTTAACTTGTACATATCTCAGTTTGCTCTTTTAGAAAGTCAAATTATAACAGTATTTATTACCTCTGCGGGTTGCTTGCTTGCTTTATTTATTTATTCAAATATTTAGAGCTTAAATTTCTTGAAGTTTTTTAAATTCAGATATAACTGACATGTAACATGTAAGTTTAAGATATATAATGTGTTTATTTGATATATCTATATGGCACAGTATGATTACCACTGTAGCATTAGCTAACACCTCTATCATGTTTCATAACTGTAATTTATTTTTTGTGGTAAGGACATATAATCAGAGAATCGCTTATTACATCAACTGAGATTATACATACACATTTCCCATTTAAAGGAGGAATAATTTCATATGATAGTGTCATTTAAAATTTTTAATAAATTTTCATTGAAGTATAAACTTCATATAGAACAGTATGTAAATCGTAAGTGTATAGCTTGATGAGTTACCACGAGGTGAACATACTGGCAGCCAGATCATAAAATAGAACATGACCAGTGTTAGGGACTGAATGTTTCATGTCCCCCCAAATTCATATGTTGAAATCCTAACCCCCAATCTGGTGATATTAGGGGGTGGGCCTTTGGGAGGTAATTAGGTCATGAGGGTGGAGCCTCATGAATGGGATTAGTACCCTGGTAAAGGAGACCCCAGAGAGGTCGCTCACTCCTTCCTCCATAGGAGGACAGATCTAAATCATGGCCATTTCTGTACCAGGAAGTGGGCTCTCATGAGACCCTGAAGCCGCCAGTGCCTTCACCTTGGACTTTGGCCTCTAGAATTGTGAAAAGAAATGTTTGTTGTCGCATCAGTCAGTCTATGGTAATTTGTTAGACAGCCTGAACAGACCAGTACGCCATCTCAGAATGGGTACCCCATCTCAGAAGCCAGTGAAGTACCCCCACGCCATAGTTCTACCCTGCTTTCCCCTGAAGGTAACACAGCTCTCCCAACTTCTAATGTCGTAGATTTTGTTTTGCCTTAACATAAGTAGGGTCGTACGGTGTACATTCTTTTGTGTTTGCCATCTTTCACTTAACTTTTATTTGTAAGATTCATCTACATTTTATGTAGCAGTGGTTCACTCATTCTTCCTGCCATATGCTGTCCTACTGTGTGACTCTGCCAGAAGTTTTCATCCTTTTCTGTTGATAGGCATTTATGTTATTCACAGTTTTGACTGCTACGTTGCTGTGAACATTCTCATACATGTCCTCTGGAGCACATTTCTGTGGGATATATTTTTGGAACTAGGATTTCTGGGTTATAACATAT